GGGGGGGTAGGGGACCCCTGGCAGGGCCATGCCTGCCACCAGCTGTGTCCCCTCACACAGGAGCTGGACACCATGTACTTCTGCAACACCTGTGGGCAGCCCCTCTGTGCCCCATGCCGTGAGGAGACACACCGTGCCAGGATGTTTGCCCGCCACGAGATCGTCTCCCTCTCCAAGCGCACCAAAGACATCCACAAGAAGTGCCGTGAGTGCCGTGCCAGGCTGCCCTGTGCCATGCTATGCTGCACTGAGCCATGCCAGGCAATGCCACGCTCCTGTCCCCTGCAGCACTGCACGAGGAGCCCTACATCATGTTCTCCACCGAGAAGAAGTCCATGCTCTGCATCAACTGCTTCAGGGACATGCAGGGGTGAGTATTCCCATCCCCAGGCTTGCTGCGTGCCCCATCCTGTGCTTTCCCTGACGTCTGTGCCTGCAGGGAGAGCCGGGCACACTGCATCGACATCGAGACCGCGTACATGCAGGGCTGCCAGCGCCTGGACCAGGCAGTGATGGTGGGCAGGGCCGGGGGGCATGGGGGTGGCAAGGGGGTGCAGTGCTGTCCCCTGCACTGCAGCCACCCCACCACCCTGGGCAGGCTGTGAAGGAGCTGCAGACCTCCACGCGTGAGGCCATCGTCCTGCTCAAGGCCATGATCGAGGAGGTTCGGAACAGTGCCAGCGAGGAGGAGGCGGCCATCAACTCCCTCTTCAGCCGCATGCAGGTGTGAGCTGTCACCTGCACAGCGAGCCCTGTGCCTGCAGGACACAACCAGGGCAGTGGGGAGGGACTGGGGTGGCTGCAGGACACAGGGTGGCTGTGCCATTGCAGGAGCAGCTCTCCGAGAGGAAAAAGACGCTCCTGAAAGCTGTGCAGAGGTGAGGGAACATGGGCTGAGCCCTGTCCGAGGGCTGTCCCTCTTCCCAAGGTGGTTTGGGATGCCTGGGGCTGGATGGCTCCCTCGGGTCTTGCAAAGGCTGTGCCATGCCCTGCTCTGCTGCAGCCAGCACGAGGAAAAGGAGAAGGCATTCAAGGAGCAGCTCGCCCACCTTGCCTCCCTGCTGCCCACTCTGCAGGTAGGGCCTCACAGCAGGCAGGAACATCCTGACACCAAAGCCAGGCAGTGACAGACCCTCTCCATACACACAGATCCACCTGGTGACCTGCTCAGCCTTCCTGAGCTCTGCCAACAAAGCTGAATTCCTGGACCTGGGCTATGTGAGTGTCACCAGCACTGCAGGGGTGGTCAGGGTGGCCCTGCTGAGTTCATGGGCAAGGTGCTGAGCACCCCTCACCATTGCTGCCTTTCAGCAACTGATGGAGAGGCTGCAGAGGATTGTCAAGCTGCCTCACCGCCTGCGGCCGGCCCAGACCAGCAAGGTAGAGAGAGCCCTGCTGCAGTGCCAGTGGGCAGTGCCAGTGCCAGCCCTGCCCCAGCCCAGCTGTGCTCTCCTCTCTTCCCCCCAGATCAACAGCGAGTACCGGGCAGAGTTTGCCCGCTGCCTGGAGCCCCTCCTGATGCTCAGCCCCCGCCGCTCCGTGGTGGGCAGCGCTGGTGGCATCGGACCTGGCATCACTGGCACCAACATGTGAGGTGCTAGGATTGCACCCAAGGCACATGTGCTACTGTGTCCCCTGCCACGTGCCACACTGCGCAGTCCCCTCAGCATCTCACCATGCCAACCTTGCCCCTGCTGCTGCCCTTGAGCCTGTCACCTCAGCAGGGGTACCAGGACAGCACAGGCACAGCTGCACTGATGAACAACAGGCTTCAAGTGACACTTCTGGGAAGCGGGGTGGGTGGCAGAGGGGTGGGCAGCAGCAGGGCTGGCAGCTGGGGGCCTGGTTAAGCCTCACTCTATTCCCCAGCCCGGCCCCTGCCACGCTCCTTGGAGGGCTCTGCCCCCTCTCCATGGGTGCTCCACCTGGGCCAGCTCCTGCTCGCCCACATGCCCATGGTGCTGCAGCCTCTTTGCCCGCCACTATTTTTATCAGAATTTCAGAGAAGTGCTCGACCATTCTTCACCAGGGATATATTTAGGCCTGTTGATGTCACGGCAGCACCGGCCCTGCCAGGCCCTCCCAGCCAGAGAGGACAAACGGGCACTGCCACCCCATGGGGACCGCTCCTCGCCCCCAGGCAGGCTTGGCACTGCAGGGTGGCTGAGCTCCTGGGGGCTGCTGGCCTCAGCACGGGCAGGGGGAGCACGGCGCTGCACGGTAGGACCAATGCTGGTGGTGGTTAGCACGGGGAGATCATGGGATGGGGGGAACACAGGGGCAGCAGTGCCTGCCAGGAGATACCAGCGGTGAGAGAGCGAGCTGTATCCCACCCTTTAGAAACTGGAGGGTGCTGGGCTCAGCTCCTGGCTTCTCACTGCCACAGCTGGCTCCAAAACTGCAGGAATACAGAGAGCAGCCCACAGAAATGTGATTCTTGGGGCAGCATAAGGTACCTCTGACTGAACCTCTGTGCTTGGGAAGGGACGTGTGGGACTGGTGTGTCCCACTGGAGGTAAGGGGTGGTGGGACTGAGCTGGCAGCATGGTCCCTGGCACCTCACCCCCACTGCTGTACACCTGCAGCACGTCACTGTCACCTCTCCATGCAGGCTCCCTGGTGGCCAATGCTCCAAGACCCTCATGGTGCCCAGCTGTCCCCCCAGCAGTGACAAAATGTCCACGGGCCCCATGGTGAAGAAGCCAACGATGCACCGGTACATCAGCACCAAGGTGCTGCTGGCTGAGGGGCGTGAGACCCCCTTTGCTGAGCACTGCCGCAACTACGAGAACACCTACCGGGTAGGGACATGGCTGGGAGCAGGATGGGACAGGACAGGACTGTGGGCTGGGTAGGGACATGGCTGGGAGCAGGATGGGACAGGACAGGATTGTGGGCCAGGTTGGTGCTGCTTACATGGCTGTGCCCCCTGGTTCCTGCAGATGCTGCAGACGGAGATCCAGGGCCTGAAGGACCAGGTGCAGGAGCTGCACCGTGACCNAGGGACATGGCTGGGAGCAGGATGGGACACGACAGGATTGTGGGCTGGGTAGGGACATGGCTGGGAGCAGGATGGGACACGACAGGATTGTGGGCCAGGTTAGTGCTGCTTACATGGCTGTGCCCCCTGGTTCCTGCAGATGCTGCAGACGGAGATCCAGGGCCTGAAGGACCAGGTGCAGGAGCTGCACCGTGACCTCACCAAGCACCACTCGCTCATCAAGTCGGAGATCATGAGCGAGATCCTGCAGAAGTCGCTGCAGATGGACGTGCAGATCGCAGCTCACTACTCTGCCGTGGAGATGATGCGCAGCGTCTTTGAGGAGGTACAGCTGGCACGGCCTGGCAGAGCAGGGCCCCTCTGTGCCACACCAACGCATTCTGCCCAGCTCCCTCTCTTCCCTCCAGGTTTGGGAGGAGACCTACCAGCGGGTAGCAAATGAGCAGGAGATCTATGAAGGTACTGCTGACTCCACGCTCCCTCCCCGTGCCCCCTGTGCCCTCCCTGGGGGAGTGGCCGTGTCCCAGCCCACTCCTCTGCCCCCAGCCCAGCTCCATGACCTGCTGCAGCTGAGGCAGGAGAACAGCTGCCTGAGCACCATCACCAAGCAGATCGCGCCCTACGTGCGCTCCATCGCCAAAGTGAAGGAGCGCCTGGAGCCCAGGTGAGGGGTGCAGGGACATTCAGGGCCAGGGGTGCCACAGCTCATGGCTCACACCCATCCTGCCACAGGCTTCAGGAGCCTCAGGAGCCCAGAGAAGAACAGACCCAGATGCTGCTCAAGATCTGTGACAACAATGAAGTGGTGCCAAGGTAGGTGACAGCAAGCACCTCCCATGCCCTATCCCAGACAGTGACCCTGTCAAGGTGTCTTCCTTTCCCCAGGGATGCCTCACCTGGCAGCAACAAGGGGGCTTCACCCAGCCCCAGGGTGAAGGACACCCCTGGAGACCCCTCCCCAACAAACAAAGACTGCTGCAGGGGCCAGCAGAAGAGTGGAGCAGAGACTGCTACTCCAAAAGAGCCAGCACCATAAGCCCAGTGCTGGGCACATGGCTGGGCTGCTGGGCACAACCACGCCCTTGTGAGTGACCAGCTCCTCTTGCCCAGTGCCACAAGCCAGGGCAGGAAACAGCCCGGGCAGCCATGTCTGCAGCACATACAAAGGCCTCAGGTGGACTTGCTTCTGAAAAACTCTCCTTGTGCTCTTCCTTGCATGTGTCAGAGTGAAATAAAAGGGTGCACTTGTCCATGTCTGTGTGGTTCTGCAGTGCTGATAAAAGGGATCTGCTGGCTCAGGGTGTCCAGCTGCTCCTAAAACCACAACATTGGCAAATTATGGGGAAAAATAACTCCTGGTGGAGGGCAGAGGTACATGGCCAGGTGATGGATCATCCTGCGAAGTGCTGGGCAGCCACGCACCAATGTGGGCTGGGTGCTCTAGAGGTTCCCTGCACATGTGGGAACTAAGAACTCACCAATCACTGTGGCACAGAGGGCAGGGTTTCACACTTTACTCCAGCTTTTCCCTAAAACTTCACATGCCTTCCCCACACCTGGTAAGCTGCTGTCTCCTCACAGAGCTTCTGGTCGCAGGATTTGGGAAAATAAAAGGTTAAGAGAAGCTGTTGGTCTCCAAAGCTTCAAGAGCCACTGAAAGTTTTGCTCAGGGTGGAGTTTATCCCTTTCTTTCGATGTCAACACATCCTGCTTGGACAGAGCCTGCACAGCTGGAACCAGCACTTTTGACATTAGGATCAAGCTTCATTTACTTTGAAGAACAATCTGGGAATGAGGCTTTGTTTCTGTTGTCAAACAGCACATCAAACCCAAGTGACAAACTTGTTCCAAAGCTCCTTTGATCAAGGGCACAGCAGGAACATTACTACCTATAAAAAATTGCTTAGATTAACCTGCTCGAGGCACCACTGGCTGGAACCAGTGCTTCCCTGAGACAAGAACAGCCCAAGTGGGAGCCTCTGAGTGCCCAGCACAGATCAGCACTCTCCAACTGGTGAATTTTCACCTTTGTTCTTTTTTCCCAAGCCAAAACCCCACTCAGCAAAGGTCAAGTCAGCAGCAAGGGCATCAACAGATGCTCTGTGATCAAGCAAACCCAATGGAGGATGGACTCTGCATCAGTTCAGCAAGGAGAAACAGAGGGTCAGGGTCAGAGTTAGGGTCAGCCTCATCCCTCTGGCTGCACAGCCCCACAAACCATTGAGTCACAATCGTGCCTCAACACAGTGCTGGTGTGTTCTGAGAACCCACCAGGAATTATAAAGCATTCCAGTTTCCATGATGCCACCAGCACCTCAAAAGATCTTCAAATAACCAGACAGAAACCCACAATGTTTTCTCTTTTTCTTTTTTTTTTTTTTTTAATATAAAAAAAGAAAACCTAAACCCAAACCCAAGCTATTCTCACCAAGTGCCCCTTCCTGAGCCATACCGCAGCACCTTCCCCATGGAACACCACAAGCTCCAAGCATGAACTGACAAGCAACTCATTTCCATTCCAGCAAGGAAGAATAATGTAGAACTCAAGAAAACAGTGAACCTCTTTGGTATATAACAACAAAGTTATACCACACAGCTCAGTGGGAACCATTTCCAAATGGTTACTAGAAAAGAGCGTTAGCTAGCCCAACTCTTCTGGTTGGAGATTTCCTTAGAAGCATCTCCTACTTGCCCTAACATCACAGCTTTTGCCCAAAAGAGCAGGGGAGGACCTCAGGGACTACAGCCCTTAGCAAGCCTGGCAGCTGTGGCTCTTTCACAACCCAAAATCCTGGGATCTCTGCAAGACAGAGGCAGCCTGGCAGGATAGGAAGCAGCGTGATTTGGAAGCAGGAAGAAGGAACAGAGGTGGCAGCAGGAGGCAGCAGCTGGAGCAGTGACACTGCACCCACAGCAGCATCCAAGGGACGAGGAGAGGGCCCAGAGGTGCTCAGATCCAGTGGCACGAGGGGAGCAGCAGAACCCTCCCTGCAGACCCCAAGGCCTAGAGAAGTGAGTGGTGCCATGCTGCACTCTGGCACTTTGAGGGCAGAGCTGGAGGCTGCTCCCTCGGCCGCCCCAGTGCCAGCTCAGGGAGTTTGCCCTGAGGAGATTAAAGTCGTGTCACCAGGCTCACGAGGTCAGAAAGCTTTAAAATCGAATTATGCAACAGGAACAATCTGCTGCCTAGCACCTTCCCCGCCCAGGGCCAGGAGGGCAGTGCTGTTTCCAGGTAGAATCAGTTCCAGAGGCGTTCCAAGACAATTCAGCTGCTGCAGGCAGGATTCATTCTCTTTAGGGTCGCTACAGGCTAAGTTTTCTGGAAGATCCCTGAATGTGCAATGAAGGACTGATCTCAAGGAGCAGGAACGAGCTTCTGATCTGTGAGTGACCCAGCAGGCTGCCCAAAGCTGCAGCCCTCCACCAGCTCCTCCTGAGTGGCCAGGAAATACCAACAGGCACCTCCTGATGCCGGTGCCACACAGGCACTGGACGTAGCAGGAGCCGGGCATCTGCTCAGCCAGCCTGGTTTGTGCCCATGTTACAGTTCCAATTTGACTCCTTTAATGAAAGGGAGACCCGATGGCACCTTCCTTTTGTACTCCAGGTACTCTTCTCCAAAGAAGTGGATGAGTGTGATCTCCTCCTCCTCGATCCGCTCCCTGAAGAAGCGCCAGGACGCCAGCGCGTAGCCCACCACGCAGATGGGATTGCAGAGCAACACCTGGAACAGAGCCTGCTGGTGAGCACCCCCTCGAGAACACAGCTCATCCCCCTCCAGCAACACTGACACAGAAAAAGAAAATACCACAAAACTCATTGTGAAACTTCACAAGCACTAGTTTCTCCCCAGAATGACAAAGGCAGTGCTGGCCTCACTGCCTCAGCTCTCAAAAGCTCCATGTGCCACACTAATGGACTCTCTCCAGAGAAACACAAGCCAATGCCAGCACCCAGCCAGCCACAAGAGCACACAGCTACAGCAGCACTGAGCTAAGGCTTGGCCACAGCTCAACCTCCCGTCAGGGACTTTCCTTGCCCTCAAGCACAGGACTGGTGTTTGGCAGGAGCCAGGCTGAGTCTGACCACTCACAGAAGGCATTTTGACCACAGTGATACAGAAAACTCTGCATACCAGCTTTAAACCAGCAGCAAATCACACCTCAAGCTTCCAAGGGGGTTGTGAGTCAAAACTCCTGCTCCACCACCTCTCCTTACCGCACAGAGAAAATTAAGGGAACATCTTCCCAAAGATGCCATGGGGCAGAGAGTACAGGGATTCCAGATTCCAGATTTCCTGTGCCAGTGGGAGGCAGCAGAATCCAGGTCCAGTCTGCACCTCACCACAGCATGGGCAGCACTTAGAGCAAAGACTGGGGGCGTGACAGGAAAGGATCTGAGCACTCTGGATACAGTACCTGTGTTCCAATACTCCAGTAAAACCATCCCACGTAGGAGGGGTGCCGGAACCACCCGTACACCCCGCTTGTCACCAAAGTGTGGGTGTCAGATTTCTCGTTCTGAACGATGTGGTTGAAGTTGGAGCCTGCTGTGAGCATGGCTGCCTTCCTCAAGCAGTCCCCGAAGATCACCATCAGCAGCCCCACGGTGCTCAGCCAGGTGATCTGCTTCAGCTCTGCGTGGACATGGAGGGGCACAACAGGTTTGCACAGGTCTCCAGGGGGCTGCTCAGTGAGTGGGCTTTGCCCCCATCTCAAAGCAAAATGTGTGACAGCAACAGCCATGCACTGCCATCCTGCACCAAACAGATAAAACCAGCAACGCCCGCTTGGTGTTAGCATGGATTAGTCCATGAGGGCCAGCTGGAGAGATTGAGCAAAACCAACACAAAGCACAACCAAGGACATGCTCAGGCTGCTACAAAACAAAGGAGAGCAGTTTCCCTCTCCCAAGGATGAACAGATGAGCACAGCCAATTTGTCCCAGACTGGGGCAACCAGCAACACATTCGATGACTTGATTTTATTCCTGTCAAAAGGCAACACCCAGGTGTACCTGACACATAATTCTCATACCACCAAGGCAGGAAAGGGCTGAAGATCCCCTGGCCTGGCATATTAGAGCAAGCAAGGGCTCCCCCCTGCCCTCCCAAGATCCAGCCCAAGAGGCTTTGAGCACTGAGGGATTATGACTCTGGCAAAGCTGCTGCAGGGCAGTCACGGGGCAGCAAGCTGAGGGTCACCTGCACTTTGCTACCAGGCAGATGGACCCCAGGCAAGCCACGTGCAGCTAGGCAGAGACAGGCAGGGACAGGGTGGCCGACCTGGGAAGAAGAGCTTCTCCAGCGTGAACTCCACCCAGGAGGACAGGGCAGCCAGGTTGTACTCGAAGCTGTGGTTGAGTAGGAAGGAGTCCAGCGAGAGGCTGCGCGGGTTGTTGATGGCTGTCACCAGATACTCCGAGTAGTGAAAGAGNGTTAGGGGCTCCGAACAAGGAGGGCATTGTGCTGCACTCACTGTGTGCGGACGCAGGCCCTTGATGGAGGCAGACGAGCTGGTCCCACGGTCGCTCCGATGCTCTGTGCTCCTGCTCCGGCCCCGCTCCGTACGGACGGAACTCCACCCTGTCCGCCCCACCCGCCTGGCACCAGCTCCGGGCTGGGGGATGCCCCTGCGGTCCCCAACCCCCTTGCCGGAAGGGCTGGTGCCTGGCACTGACAGCCGTCCCACTTCCTCCTGCAGGACACAGACAACTCTGGTGCCACCATCCTGCACCTGGCAGCCCGTTTCGGTCACCACGAGGTGATCGAGTGGCTCCTCCGCTTCGGAGGCAGCGACCCCACGGCAGCCACCAACACGGGAGCGCTGCCCGTCCACTACGCCGCGGTGAAAGGGGATTTCCCTTCCCTGCGACTCCTCTTGGGACACTGCCCCAGGTAACTGCCCCCGCTGCTGGCAGCGAGACAGGGTCTGCCGGAAGGTTGGCACCCACCAGCAGGAGCGGGGTTAGTGGGAGAACGGGGTGCCTGCTGTGCCCCCAACCCTCCCTCCAGCCACCGGGCAAGGTGCCAGCACTGGGGACGAATGCTGCAGCCACCCTGATCCCCCAGCTCCAAGGGCAACGCGGCCGCGTTATCAGGCTGGGCAGCCAGCTGCACCTTCTTTATGGCCCAGAAAGAAAGGGAGAGGAGGAGAGGGGCGAGCGCTGGCAGAAATATTGTCACTGGCCGCTGAGTCGGCTCCTGGCGCGGGGCGATAACACAGCCGCCTTTGTCCGCCCGCTGTTATGTAAATGGATTAGGCTGACCGCCGAGGAGAGGCTGCTCCCCGCGCCGGAGACGACCTTTCCGCTTGCCCA